TATATATAAGGCAGATCGCCTCGCCTAAGGCGAGAGGCGCACAAAGGCGCACCGAGGCGAGCGCCCGATTGAAGGCACTCGCCTAGGCACCTTGCAAGGCGCACCTAGGCGAAATCGCCTCACCTCTCGCCTGAGGCAAGCGCCCAGGTGTGCCTCAATAACACTGCTCCTACCATAGCACAACGATCTCTAATTTCTATTGCAATTCATATTTACAAGGAAGTCTCCAATGCTAATCAATCAGATGGGTATGAATAATATAGCTCACATACAAGTTGTCAAAAAGCACTTGGAGTTACCATTAGTTACTCTCAAACGTAAAATTTTCTGTAAATAGTTCATAAATAAGAGTATGTCTTGTCTTATTTGTTCCCTCTAGCTTATATAAATCATGCACCACATATGTTGTTTTTCCTAGTAAACATTCTCATAGCATCATTGAGGATTAAAAAATAAATAAGTAAAGGTGTCAATTTTTGGAGCATGGAAGAAAAACTCAAAATCATCCAAGAAACCTGAGAAGAGGAAGAGCGCGAATTTTGTGATATTTTACTCCTGGTTGAGGGTGCTTCAATTACTAAAATAGAAGACATAAGGAGGTTGTTGGAAAGTGTTTTCAAATGGCTAGGTGCACAACCATCATGGGTGGCTCATTTAGTCCAAATGGGCTGAGGTAATTAAGAGGGAATGAATTCAAATCCCATGATAGCCACCTACCTTAGGAATTAGTAATTCCTATGTGTTTCTCGATACCAAATGTTGTATGGTCAGGCGATTGCCCCGTGAGATTAGTCGAGGTGCGAGTAAGCTGACCCGGACACTCACAGATATCAAGAAAAAAAAATTTCTAGGTGCACCCAAGTCAAGAGTCTCTTGATTGCCCAAGGCAAGAGTCACTTGATTGCCCAAGGCAAGAGGTGACAAAAAGGCAATGCCTGAATGAAGTGGGTGTGAGACGTACCTTAATAAATTTTTAAAATAAAAAATATATTATGTATGTATAGTGTAAATTAATATGGGAAAAGCCTTAAAATTAAATTTGACAGGTCAAAATGTCAATTAAAAAACAAGGAAGAAGAAAAAATTAAAATTATAAGAAAAACAGAATGTTTTTTAAAAGAATAATAAAGACAAAACGAAAAATTAAAAAATAATAAAATATTTGTAAAAAAATAGGGGAAAAATAATAGCATGCCCTTATTGAGTTATGAACCCAAGTTGATGCAGCTTATGCTTAAAAGTAGAAGAGAACATCAATCATCTATTCTTTTGTTATGTACCCCAAAAATGGATTTTTGTAGGTGTTTCAAGGATTCAGTTTCACATGGGCCTTCAACTTTTCAGAAAAATAATGTTTTCTTGAGATTTATGGCATTCAGTCAAAAAAGATGGCTAAATTATCATGGTTAACATGGTCAAAGCTGCTTTCTGGGTTTTGAACAAAAGGAAACCAACGTAGTTTTTAAATAAAGCAAGCATTGTAGGAGAAAAGATTTGAGATCGTCAAATACTATGTGGCTGATTCTTGGTGGAGGAGTTATTTTCCTTTACAAACAATTCTACTTTTGGGACTTGGAAGGTTATTTGTGTAACTATTTTCAGGTTGTTCTACAGTGCGAAACTTTAGTATTTTCTCTTTTAAGGAAACTTGAGAGACTGTTACATTTTAACTTCACAATGTAACATCACAAATATCAATGGCTTGCTATGGAACCTCAGAACACAAATCTTAAACCATCAACTTACCTGCCAGTCATTTTTAGCATGGGATTGAAGCATATAGAATCGGTGGCACACCATCATTGCACTTGCAATTGTTACTTGAGGCCTGAAAAAGCAACACATCCACATGAAAATTTGGAAGAAATCATGATTAGTGCCATAAGATAAAATACACACAAACATACATTCATGATTAGTGCCATAAGATAAAATACACACAAACATACAACCATCAATATTTTAACAAAACAAACCTGCTACAGAAGAAGAGAAAAAAAGGAAAAAACCCCATTCCTTTGGAGGTCCTTAAGTGAAGATAATCTAAATGGCTCAAAAGTTATATGAAGAATCATCCATTATAAGAAAGATTTCTCACCTAAAAGAATACAGCAGAAGAAATAGTTGAATCTACTTAAATATGAACAGAGAAGTTCAGTTGAAGAAATTTTCTAGCAATAATTGAGACCGCTTGAGAGTTGGACGGTGATGGAGGTGGAGAATCTGAAGAATGATGGTAGGTAGGGAGAGAGTTCATTATACAGATAAGCAAAAGGCAGAGTTCATACAACAGAAATATAAAATGGTGATTTTGAAACCAGGTATGCAGAACCTTGAAGAGGTGGCCATTCAGGTCATCATAATAGATCATAGAAATGTGTTAACAAAACATATTTCATCAGCCTATGGCATTGACAAAGGCTTGGTGTTCCTGTTCCAGGCTCCAGCCGACATCACCCAGCGTTTGCACCCATCACCATGATCTGGATATCCTAGCTCAAATATGGGTTTTCAACTCACTCCTTATATGGTCAATTTCCCAACAAAATCAACAACATGGCTATGATGAAACTATGAAATCATTGACCAGGTAAGATAATGGACTGAGAAACAAAACTTGTGGATGACTGAAGAATGAAGATAGCTAGATCTGCATACATAGACCAAATAAACAACTACAAGGAGAGGTAATTTTACAAATTTCTCAGGAAGTGCTCAGAAAGAATATAAGTTAAAGACATGCATAACTGTCACATAAATGGAAATTATTGAAGTCTTACACTTTCAGCTTCATGCCAAGCTCTTGAATAAATGAGCAATATGACTTCCGCAGTTGAGACTCTTTCTTGAAATCCACTCCATCCTTCCTGGATGGAGAATGATTTTCAATTTCCTGTTTACAGAAATACCATTTGCGTGCAGAGATCAGATGCTCTTCCTGCACACAAAGGCTAGGTGTATTTCCTGGATTGCCGTTCTCAAGACGATTCTGGGACAGCTGTCTTGCCATGCTCTCACTCTCTCAACTCATTGGATTGCATTAAACAAACTCAGCAGTGACCATGACCGTGGAACAAATTATCGTTCCCTTCCCTCAAAGATTGATAAAGACTACCTGCATAAACATAAACAATCGTGGAGCTGACCAATCAACTTAAGCATTTCCTAAGGCTGCATCACTTGCAATAAAGCACCGCACTTTTCAAATCCATCCCTTTCTTCTCTCCTTTTTCTAACCAGAACTAGTCTACTAAAAACCCTTCGCAACATCTACGTAAGATTACGACACATGATTGGAAAACTAACTCGGACAAATACAGCCATATTCTTTTGCTAAAAACAGACAAGCAAAACTAA